CCCAGCTACGACATCAGCTTACTGTTTAATTTTGCATGATCTTATTATAGAGTATAACTCTCTCAGTGGAAATGTACGAAAGTTGATGTAAACAATTTGATACTCGCATTATATTAAATGTTCAAATGGACCTTGAATAATGGCGATTATGAACGTGTGGAGTGCATAGTCAAATCAAGAGGATTGAATCATGTATTATTTTGGGCAATGCGAGATGTTTATGTGAGGCTTTTTATTAGTTCTTTCCTCTCCCTCTTTCCTTGAGTCATAAAAATATTTGATAAGCAATTTCGTCTTCAAATAGTCTTCATGATCGTGAATTCCTTGTTACGAATTTTTGTTCTGTAGTTTTTTTTACAAACATAGTGTTGATGTGGATGTCTATGGTTTCATTATGGGGGGTTATTTAAAAAAAATGAGCTTATATTTTAACGCCATCTATTAGAATTCTGGAAATTAATTTAAAAATTTCGAGATGATTTCCGATAAGTTGCTTGAAATTTCGAGACTATTTAAGATGTTTTCAGCAATTTCAAGAAAATTCAACGATTCACAGAAATTCTAAGATAATTTTGACAGTTTCTAGAAATTGCGAGGGAATCCAAGAAGTTGCGAGAAATTTCAAAAGAATTCCTAGAAATTTGAGTGAATAGAAAGAGTTTGTAAGGAATTTGAGAGGGAAGGAAGACCATATACGTATCCACGTCAAACTATTAGCTTAGTATTAGTTCGATATTATTAATGTTTAACTAATTGTCGTATTTTTTTCATTGAATAAGTTCTTTTTATTGATGGAATTTTCATGAGGGCTGGAAATTCGAAATACTTAAATGGAACAGTATTATTCCAACTGACGGTCCAATCGAATACAACTATAAATGTGATGCACAAATTTGGTCCTGATATTTATCAATTGAATCTTTTGAATCAAAATCTACGCTTAATTGAATTGGAAGATCGCCATCATTGAATCATCGCCATTGCATCCGTGAATTCTAAGAATAATATTTTAACCGTTAGGAAAAAAAATCGGGGAGTTACACTAAATATTATTTTAAGAAAAAATTCAAGAATTTTTCGATTCTGCTACGAGTTAAAATTGAATTCTCATTTTCTAATTATTAACGTGGATACGTTTATGGTGTCATTATGGAGGATTTATATTTTAGCACCATCTTCCGGTTTTTTGCTAGGAAATTCTAGAAATCGCCAGGTAATTCGAGAAGTTTCGAAAGAATTCAAAGAGTAATTTGAAATTTTGAGAGAATTCAAGGAGTTTCCAGAAATTCCAGAATGAATTTGAGGGAATTTGAGCATTTCTTAGAAAATTCGAAGGAATTCAAAAAATTTCTAGAAATTCCAATGATATTCGGGGAGTTTCAAGAAATTTCAAAGGAATTCAAGGAATTTTTTGAAAAATTCAAGGAAATGTAAAGAATTCTTAGGGAATTCGGGAGGGAAGGAAAGATCATAGATGTATCCACGTAAAATTACAATTATATCAAAGATACAGTCGCTTGCAATTTTTTTTAGAAAATGTGAAGTCCCTCAGAGACACAAGTTTTTGATTCAAATATCAAAAGTGGCAGTAAAATCACTTTAAAAAATCACTGTGTTTATTATGATCGTTAATGGATAATGTTATTTTTTTTTTCATTTTTCAGGAGTGCATGGTTTTATTAAAACCAATTTCGCGATAATTCAAAGAGCAGAAGGTATTCCTTCAGTTTGTTTCGGCGTTATCGGGTCTGATGATTTCTGTTTAGAAGTGAAAATTATCCAGTTTGATAATCATTTCACTCACTCTTTTGAAATGGGACAAAATGTTGATATTCACGGTTTCATTCGCAAATCAGGTATGTAATACTGAATAATCACTTAATTTTTCAGTGATTTCCTATTTTCAATTCCATAATTTTTTATTTTATGTCTACTTTTTTTTTTAGATGATTTTCCTCCTCAACTGATTGTTCGTGCTTTCGGAGACATTATTTCCATTGATGGGGTCAAAGATATGGCATATTTTTGTGTAAGTGTGTAAAATGTCCCATTGAGAGTGTGAAAAAGTCTCGGGAGGATTAATTTTATTTCATTTTTTTACATCTTTTTTCCCTTTTTATCTGAATATTGCTGATATTGTGGTCATTTGGACATCAATATTTTTTGGTTTTATATGATTTTTCAATGTTTCGAGTAAAATTTTTTCTTTATTTTACAATTGTTCTTCAAGTTTATGTTGAGTGTATTAATTCAATAGATGAGTTGTTAGAATAGATATAGTTACCTGGCATGAGAGTAAAATGGATATTGAAGTTAATGGAAAAATAACGATTAAGAAGACTAGAATAGTTTCGTTAAGGTGCAGCAGTGCTCTTTTTGGTTTTCATTTTTCAAGAAATAGATTTTTGATTAGATTTCATCATTTAATATGTAATTCGCGAGTTTGGGGGAGAGGGTAGTAAAACCATTCTGTTCCATTCATCCTCTCGATAGGGACTTGGTGAGCCCGTTTTGTCGAGGGCAAGACATGGATTTCTATTAAATTTCTCATTAAAATCGCATTGTTATGGGTGAATGATCCACTTCCCGTTGAGCGACGTCTAGGTGACGATTGATTTATATAAAGTAAGTGTCTGGGAAGAGGTCAACCAAGTTTTAACAAAATCCCTTGAATGGGGATTTGTTGAGCCCGTTTTGTCAGGGGCAAGACTTAGGTTTCTATTGAATTTCTTATCAAAATCGCACTGTTATGGGTAAATGACCCACTTCGCGTTGAGCAGAGTCTAGGGGGCGATTGATTCATGTTAAATAAGTGTCTGGAAAGCTGTCAACCAAGTTTTAACGAAATCCCCTCGATGGGGACATGGTGAGCCCGTTGTGTCGAGGGTAAGACCGGGAATTTTATTGAATTTCTCATCAAAATCGCACTGTTATGGGTGAATGACCTACTTCCTGTTGAGTGACCTCTAGGCGATTGATTCATGTGAAGTAAGTGTTTGGAAAGCTGTCAACCAAATTTTAACAAAATCCTCTCGATGGAGACTTGGTGAGCCCGTTTTGTCGAGGGTAAGACCGGGAATTTTATTAAATTTCTCATCAAAATCGCATTGTTATGAGCGAATGACTACCGAATTGTGAATTTCTACTACTCATGATCCAATTCCAGAAAGAAAATTCGAGATATCCATGTTTCAAAACTTGTGTAGTGAAAATCTTAATAGAATAAGCTACATAGAGAATGATTATCTATACACTTTGTTCTCACATGCTTTTTCACTTGTTGATTCTCTCCAAAAGAACAAATTCCTTCAAAATAAAACAATAACGCCGAAACGTCAATGTGTCATAAATAGCATAATTGATATCCACTGATTAATATTTATTCAAGTGCTAAATATTCGGATACTACCTAAGGTAAATAATTTTTTAGTAGAAGAATGAGTTGTGTAGTAAATATAATAATGGATTTTATTTTAATGGCATTTTTATCAACGTTTTCTAGATGTCAACACGTTTTTATAGAGGTGGCGGTGGTGACTGCAGTGGTGGTTTTAGTAGAGCTCATGGTGAGAGATGGAATGGAAAGTTTGGTGGATATCGTTCTGAAAATTATCCTCAGCAGTCATCTTGTCATGATTCACAATTTCAAGGAAGACAAAATTGTAAGTATTTTGTGTTTTTGTTCAAAACATCAAAATTTATTAATCTTTTACTATCAAATATTGTTTAATATCAAAATGACACTGTAAAGTTGCATAATCTCTTATAAAAATTTCATAATTAAATGAATAGGATTTCTGCAAAATTTTAATATTATTTCGAGGACTTTATGATGGAGTTCCAATGAGAATTGAATCGCGGATCGCATTTTTACTTCCCTGATGGTTAACTCTGGGTTTATTGAACTTTACCAGAGTGTCTCTCTCTTTTCTCTAGATTTCTTCGAAGAAGCCAGAGTTAATCTCAGAGTTAACTCTGGGATTGGACCATCAAGGTTAATTGATTTTTTTTTCATATGTGTTAAATTATAGGTGGCAAGCTCGAGATTTGTTAAAAATTAATTTTAAAGACGGAATTCAATAGGGAAGGGAAAGAAAAAATCTTTGGTTTTCTAGTAGTCGCCCAATCTCGAGCTTGCCAACGACCGCAGAGGCTAAAATCCAGACATCTGATCTCACACCGGTCAAAACAAATGTTTATGGTGTGGTTTGTGAACTGAATAGACCCATTTTATTAGACAAAAACTGACTATTTATTCAATTTGACAATTGTCTTGTTATAAAAATCCGCCATCTTCATGATTACTGAACTTCTCCAAAAATAATTAGTTCTAAATACGATTGAAGCCCCACGCGGTCGCTAAAGACGAACATTCCTGGGGGCCTTGAAAGGTCAACTTTCAAAATAAAGCAAATGAGAGTAATGAATTCTTAAAGTGAACAGCATGAATAGAAATTGAGTTTACAACTCAATAACTTGGATTAAAACATTTGTAAAAGATCACTTCTTCTCAAATCGATATAACTTTGACCTGGAAAATATTTCAACTGATTAAACTAGGTGAAATTTGAAATAATGAACGCAATGACTCTAAATATTCAAATTACCTTTCAAATCAACCTTAAATTTTAACTGATCTTTGGATTATTTGAATGTTACTATGCGAATGCAAATGTCTCTTTACTCGTGATCGATTGGCAGTCTACAAAGCTTTTTTACTGGTCGCTTGAACTCTCCTCTTGATATCCTCACGGTGACAACTCGAACTACGTTGTCAGGGCCTGGATGCAGTTCAATAATTCTTCCAATTGACCAATGGAGAGGAGATACATTGTCCTCGATCAATAATACCATCCTGTTGAGTTTAATGGTTGGACCTGGAGTACACCACTTCGATCATTTCTGCAGTTCCTGCAAATACTACTTTTTCCAATGAACCCAGAGTTGTTAACGTAACTTTTGTAAATGTTGCCAACGTGACAATTTATTGTCTGCAATGGTTAGAAAATCACATTGAACAGGCTGTATGAGCGAGTCACGATTAGGAAGTGGGAAGGAGTGAGGACACGGAAATCAAGAAGATCGTTTGTGATTGGAGTCAATGGCCTAGGATTCAGGACAGCTTTAATGTTTGCTAAAAGAGTGTTATACTCCTCGAATGTTAACATCCTGCCCTCTGTCACAATCGATAAATGTCTCTTCATCGACTTGACCGCAGCGCCGATGCGTTGTTTAGCCAACTGTGTAGCAATCGTCTTCTCTTCTCTGGATAATAATTCGAAGACTTCTTGGAGCTCCGTCGCAGCACCAACAAAATTCGTTCCATTATCGGAAAAAATGTCTGAAGGGAGGCCATGCCTAGCAGTGAAACGGCTCAATGCAGCAAGAGATGCTTCTGTTGTAAGATCAGAAACCAGTTCTAAATGAACTGACTTTGTGCTGAAGAAAGTGAACACGGCGACGTACCCTTTGGTCACGTGGACTCGGCCTCGGCGATGACTCTCACTTACTTGCAAAGGGCAAGCATAATCTATGCCAGTTGCCGCAAATGGTCGAACGAATGCTCGCACTCTCTGTGATGGTAAATCGCCCATCATGACGGGGGTTATGGGCCTGTATCGAAAACACTTGACACAACTATACACTGTCTTCTGCGCCTCTTTCCTGCCACTGATTGGCCAGAATTTCTCTCGAACTGCATGTAACAATTGCTCAGGTGGACAGTGCTGTAGCTCCACATGCTTCTCTCACATGATAATCCGGGTAATAGGGTGTTTAGCTGGTAAGACAATCTGATGTTTTTCACTGATTGAGATGTTTGCGTGTTCCAAACATTCTCCAAGTCAGATGATCCCTTTGGAGTCGATGAACGGCTTGAGAGAGATCAGAGGACTCTTCCTAGGGCGATCAGTCTGATTCTGAATGCATCGTATCTCTGATGCGAATGATTCTGCTTGAGTCCAACTGACGATAGTCTCTTCTGCTCTCGACAGTTCAACAGGTTTAATTGGACCTGTTACTTTGCTGGAACGTAAATTTTGAATGAACCGATGACAATAGGCAATGATTCGACAAAGTTTGGAATATGAAGAGAACCTCCTCAACACGTTTCCAGGAGTCGTTACCACCAACGAAAAAGATGTTGTTTTCAGTTCTGGAAGTTCCAATGCAGCTGGCTCCATTTGATGGGGGAACTGATTTTCTTCAACCAACCAGTATGGTCCATGCCACCACAGGTTGTTGTGGTTGATGTTCTCGACTGTTGAACCTCGTGAAATTAAATCAATAGGATTTTCTGATGTAGGTACATGACTCCAGTTTATACCTTCTGTCATCTCCTGAATTTTTGTCACTTCGGTTGCCGACGAAGGTCTTGAGTGTTTGAGGCTGAGCTCGGATCCAACCAAGTACCAATGTACTGTCGCTCCACAGCTTAACTCGATCGATCCTGTCGATGAAGGTCTGTTTGGCTGTTTGATATAGCCGAGAGAGTAATACAGCTGCTTCCAATTCCAGTCGTGGAATGGAGATTGTTTTCACTGAAGCAGATCTTGATTTGGTACATAAAAGATGTGAATGACGAATTCCTAGGTTGTCGACACTGACTACGTACAAGCAAGGTCCGTAAGCAAGTTCTGAGGCGTCTCCAAAGCCAAAAATGTCGAAAGTATTTGCTTGGTTCCCCGGAACAACATTTCTGGAGATTTGTAATTCATTGAGCTGAGACATTGACTGGTAATAATCCTCCCAGACATGCTGTTGTTCTTGAGGTAAGGGCTGATCCCACTCGACCCCTCTTGCCCAGAGCTGTTGCGTAATGATCTTACCTTGAATCAGAACTGGTGCAACAGGTCCTAGTGGATCGAATATTTGTGAGATCTTTGACAATACACTTCTCTTGATATTGACAGTGTCGTTGATTAGCGATGCTCGATACTGCAGATTGTCTTTTGCAAAATTCCAGTGAAGACCCAATCTTTTCATGGTGTCTTCACCATGGTGTCGTCTTTGTTGAGAGTGAGCAAAGGATCTATTTCACTTCGCTGTGACAAATGTTCCAATACTTGAGAGTCGTTAGACCTCCATTTTTTTAATGGAAATTGTCCAAACATAAGTAATTCAGGGAGATCTTTCTGCAGTTGTATTGCTTAATGCTTTAATGGAACTCCGGTGAATACATCATCCATGTAGAAATCATTTTTGATCACTGAAGATGCTACAGGATATTTTTGTTTGTACAATGCAGCCAATTCCCTGAGGCATCTCATTGCGTGATACGGTGCACAGGCCGTTCCGGATGTAACAGTGTTTAACTGATGTACTTGAATCGGTTGATCTGGCTCGTTTCTCCAGACTATGAGCTGATATTTCCTGTCTCGCTCGTCGACGAATATCTGTCTGAACATCTTTGTTATATCAGCACTAATGACATAGACATGAGTACGAAATCTCAGAACTATTTGGAATAGATCTTTCTGTAGATTGGGACCGGGAATGAACTTATCACTCAGTGATGCTCCCGATATCGTTTTTGCGGAAGCATAAAAGACTACTCGTAGCTTCGCCGAGATGCTATCCCGTCTGATGACAGCTTGATGGGGTATGTGATAAACTTCTTCTTCTAATTCAAGGGACTTCATGTCCTGGACCAACGACATGTGCCCTGTGTTGATGTTCTCATCCATGAATTGTTGGTATGATTGTTTAAGATCTGGATTTCGTTTGAATCTTCGTTCGAGTGGTTCAAGTCTCCTCTGAGCTTGTATCTTCTAATCTCCAAGGGTGACGCCTGCTTTTGTGGGTAGACGTACAATGAATCTCCCTTGGTCATCTCTGCCAGTGGTGCTGATGAAATGTTTCTCACAGTCTTTCTCTTCTTTTGTGAGGTGATGCGTCTCCATGATGGCCTCTTGTTTCCAAAAGCGTTCCAATTGATCATTCAGTTGATCATTGATGATTTTCAAACACATTGGAGGGGAGGATGATTAATCTTCAACCATCTCTCCTCCAATAATCCAACCGAATTGAGTATTTTGAAGCGAAGGTTGGCCTTCGATGCTGTTTCTGGGTCGTCCTAGCAAAACTTTCCAGTAAAGTCCTGCCCCCAAGAGTACGTCGATTTTTCCAGGTTCATTAAATGTTGGATCAGCTAGATTCAAACTTCCAGGAATGATGATGCGATTAACGTTGATTTTGGTCTGAGGCAGATTCTCTGTGATTGATGGCCAGAGAAGACATTCCATCTCTACACTGAAGTTGTTGTTCATGGCTTTGAGGGCAACCAGAACTGACTTCTTTGACTCTGATTTATTCCTATTTTCTCCGCTGATTGATCTGACGCTGTTGTTGGATACCAATTTGAGTTTTCGTGCTAACTCGTTAGTCATGAGGTTTACCTGGGATCCTGGATCCAGCAATGCTCTGAAAATAACTGGTTCACCTTTTGAATCATGAATATATATCTGTGCTGTTGATAGAATGACCTGAGATGTGAGTTTTGCTGTATAAAAGATCTTCGATGAGGTACGTGGGGCTGCGAGGTCTCCAATGTGAGCTGCAGCTGATATTATTGACTCACCAGTAACTCCAGACTTGTTACTCTCTTCGTGTAAAATTGTGTTATGTTTTTCATTAAATTTTTTGCATGTTGAAGAGGTGCAGTTGTTTGCTTGATGTCCAAGACCGAGGCAGTCGATGCAGAGTCGTTTCTCGATGATGAGAAGAGTTTCTCTCTCTTGGAGAAAGATTAACAAGTTCATCACAGCGATATGTTGGATGATCGTTACTGCAGATTCTGCATGTCCCTGTTTGATGTCAGAAAAACCTTCCTCTTGGATTTATGACTCTCATGTTTGACATCTTTCTTCTGTGTTGATGATTTCTCTTTGGGGGGTTTCTCCTTCGGTTTATTCTGCCCAAGCATCCTGAGGGTGTGACAACGTTGAGTGAGGAATGGCATGAACTCTTCAAGTTTTGGCATATTCTGTGGTGTACGATCTTCGATTGTATTCTGCCAATCTTTCTGTTCGATGTAATCTAACTTCTTTTTTGTAAGGTGAATAATGATTGCATCCCAATATTCAACTGGCTGGGATAACGTTGTGAGCGATGAAATGTGTGTCTGAATGTGCCAGACCAACTGTCGAATTGAGTCTGCTCTGTTTTCTCTTGTGATAGAAGGAAATTCCATCAATTCCTCCAAATGGGTCTCGATAATCATCATCTGGTTATCGTATGTGTTCTTGAGAAGTGCCCAAGCGTTGTCGTAATTTTCATTACTGATGGTGAATCCCTCGATTACTTTGAGAGCATCACCATCCAGGAGTCCAATGAGGTGTTGATGTTTTCGCACTTTTGCTAGATCTGGATCATCGTGGATTGTCGTTTCGTAATTGTTGTTCCAAAATAACCACTTGGTTTAGTCTCCAGAAAATATTGGGAGTTTGAGGTTAGGTAACTGTGGCTTGTCTCGTGTTTCTTGTATGATGATCCTCGCCCCATCGCCCTGATGGTGATTGTCATTGATGTTGAGCTGAGGTGGTTCTGTTCTTTCTCTCTCTATAATCTCTTGTGCGCGTGCTGCTATGTCAAAGTATCTATTTTCGAAATCTTGTCTTTCTTGCTCTTGTTCTGCAATGAATTGAGCTTGGGCGTCTAGGTCTGGCTGAGGCAAATCAACAATTTCTCCTTGCACTGTTTCAAATGCAACACAACCCTCTTCAAGTTTTTTCAACCTCAGTGCCGCTTGAATCGCTGTCACGTTACAATTTTGATTGAAAAATATTTCAATACGTGTGACTTGAGCCTTGGCGCGACCCCTGCGTTGTTTCAAGGCAGGCAGTTCTTCCATTGTCAATCAGATGTATTGGGGAATAGGGAAAAGGGAAATAAGTGACTCACTCACCTGCAATGTACGTTGCTTCCGAGCCCGACGTACCAACGAGACTCTGGATGATGTGGATAATACTGCTTGACAATTCACTCGTCGCTCTATACTGACCGGAACCTTCTGCATGTCTGATGGTGATGATGATCGCTTGATGTACTTGTGGCAGTGTTGAATGCTCTCAACATCCACGGATGTGTCGTTGCTGAATTTTTGAGACTGTTGAGTGTTCTCAACCTCCACGAATACGTCGTTGAATAAAGGCGACTCGATTGCCTGGTTAATTGAGTGTAAGTGTGTGTTACACGGATGTACTCTCGAAGTAGGTTTAATGCTTTTTGCACCTTTTTAACGAGTGTGCCCTTTTCGATGATTGATCAAATCCGTTGATTTGAATTAATTTAACTGAATTTATGATGATAATGAATGCTGAATATGTGTAAGTGCGTGGGGGCTTCAACTCGGCGTCTCAGCGTCCCTGTTGCGTCGATTGTCGTTGTAGATGGTTGAAGAGCGATTTTCATCGATTCTTCACTAATAATTGAGTTTTTGACTCATTTTGTCAGTCGTGAGTCGAGTTTATTGGGCGCCAATGTTTATGGTGTGGTTTGTGAACTGAATAGACCCATTTTATTAGATGAAAACTGACTATTTATTCAACTTGAAAATCGTCTTGTCATACAAATTCACCATCTTCATGATTACTGA